CAAAGTTGCGCTCACCACCACTGGTTTCGATTCTACACCTTCTCCAAAAGCCCTTGAAGCATTGGCGTCGTCTTCGTCGTGGTCTCTCTTACTCACATTAGAGTCACTCTTTGTTCTCTATCACTCGTATCGCGCTGTGTGTCGAAGGAGATTGGATTTGGTCGTTGACTTCTGAACGCGGTGAGACATCGAAGGTTGGAGTGAGTTTTTGATTAATGTCGGTTTTGTTTGTAGTTTTATATTGACCCAAACTTTGCTCTTTCTTCTTTAGAGTTTAAAAGTGCAAATTTTCAGAAACCATAGTGGTTTGGTTCGAATCAAGGTTCGAGGTCCAATCACCCTCTGCCCAGGGAATATGATTGGTTAGAATTGGGTTAGTTTATGTGGATGTATATTATTAGGAGAGGACATGTTGTTAATCCCATCATATTTCATGAGTGCCTTTGGTCTCATAGAGGATGTTGAAGTTACTCAACAAATCAGAGAGATCAAATATGAGAAACGAGCTCTTGTCTTTTGAGATAGCCTCGTAATGGATCATTGTTAGAACATGGTAGGATGTTATCAGTTTTACTCTTCTGGATTTACTGTTCTTTACCCGCACTGTAATTGTTCTTGAGGTTGGAGCGTCTAATCTGGCCATACGAAGCTCCTAGTAATACATTATGTAAATCTTATTTTGATGATTGTCATAAAACTGCGATACTTGAAGAAAGCTCGTTTTCTGAATCAAAAAAGACGCTTAAAGATTTAAGAAACTTGTGACGTTTACTTTTATGTTAGTAACATTTACGTTATTCCTTGTTCGATCAAAATTATATTCTAATATATTGTTTCCATTTGATCTGTATATTAATTTTTCACATAGTTCCAACAACAATGTCTTGAATTCTTGAAAAGTGTTCTCTTATCCCAATCAAAATCTCCAAATTGGGTTGCTCTTAATGCGTTTCAGAGACCTCGGAGAATAGTGGTAACCTCCATCACCAATCCAGTTGTTTGGCCTCCTGCCCTATTGTAGAGAGGCCTTTCATGTCGCTCTGCATATATTATGAATATTGTTTCAAAAACGATGACTGTGATTGGAATATAGGCTGTAATTGTATTTCAAATACTAGAAAGAGGCTATTGCTAACCCTGATAACTGGAACAAAGAGTCCATTATCAGATAATAATAAAGTTGGTGCAAAAATATTTTAAAAAGGCACTTCTGCTTTTGAAATATATTTCAAATTGCATAGGTTATTTGAGTGTATACTTTATATACAACATCCATTTAAATTCCTCAAATGATGATTACACAGTAAAGCTTGGGGGCATCATGACATTTTCTTAAGTAATAGTATTTGTTGCTCGTTTTACTTGATAGAGTTTTTCTAGAGTTGTCATATGACTTTTTTAACTGAATTTATTTAAATGAGTCAAATTGATTTCGAAAGTCATTTGCTCTTTACAGGCAAGATATTAAATGCCTTCGCGGTCT